TTAACATGGAATTACTTACAAGTGTTAAAGTTTTAAATGATTATCTACAGGTTCTCCATCATCCTCTTTTTATATTTGCTTCTCTCCTAATTGGGAATTGACCTCCTACAGCATTTCTTTCAAAGTTAGTTCATCATCCTCTTCTAGGAGTTCATTTAAATCTTGTTTATGCATTATGGAAAGTCCTTGCTCAAGCCACCTGAACACCCTCTCCAGGTAAGCCACAATTTATTGGACCTACCTTCTTACTGGGGAAAAAACAGCAAAATTATTCACCATGGAAGGACATTATGTCACCAATGTACATTTTATTTGTGGTTGATTGGGGCACTTCATCCCATGACACCTTTATGTTCAGAATTGCATCTGTAATGTTAAATTTATGCAAGAACTTTGGCATGCCAGTTCCAGAGCTATTAGACTTTATCCTGATGAGCTTTCTATTATTTTTTGTGTTACTGTAATGTGTAATAGCACTTCAGTGTGATGATAACTCTTCAGTCTAGTGGCTGTGTCAGAGATAGTGTATTGGTTGGTAAAAAACACAACCTTCACATTTGGGTCCACAGACTGAAAGATTTGAGGATTACGGGAATTTTTAAGGTAAACTTTACACAATAGGCTATTGCTGGCGAGGTACATCTTGACTGCAGGAATAAAATCAAGAAACATGACCTCACTCATTCATGTTGCCTTGTTGAACCTCCAATAACAGGCAAGCAGGTTTTGTCATGATCTTTTAAAGCAAAGAGACAGTGTGTGATAAATTGGCATAGACTTGTACTTGAAATTGCCTGTTGCATTTATGCAGGAAAGTCAGGTAAAATAATCTTTAGTGGCCTTGCAATCAGCTGCATTTTTTCTTGATTGTTAATGTGCATTCTTGACAGCATACGCTTCCAAGATAGTTCTGTCTTTGTCCTGTTAGTATTAAAGCTTTGGTTGGGACTACCCATTCATTGAAATAATTTGTACAAAGTCAGCTGGGTAATTTACCATAGCAGTGTGATCAGCTGATACTCACCGTCAAACTTTGTATGAAGCTGACTGCACATTTAAAATATTTCAAACTACACTAACGAACACTAAATAAACCTTGCTGTGAAAGCTCTCATTCCTTATCACATACTGTTCTTTGAGTAGGATGGGGCTTTATATAAAGCCTTTTTTTTTTTTTTTTTCAACAAACCGGCCATATCCCACCGAGGCAGGGTGGCTCAAAAAGAAGAACGAAAATTTCTCTCTTTAAATTTAGTAATTTATACAAGAGAAGGGGTTACTAGCCCCTTGCTCCCGGCATTTTAGTCACCTCTTACAACACGCATGGCTTATGGAGGAAGAATTCTGTTCCACTTCCCCATGGAAATAAGAGGAAATAAACAAGAACAAGAACTAGAAAGAAAATAGCAGAAAACCCAGAGGGGTGTGTATATACACCTACCATCCGACTTATGACCGAGTTCCGTTCTGAGAAACCAGTCGTAAGTCGAAATGGACGTAAGTCGAACTTTACTGAAGATTGAGACACTTATGCAGCATATGGGAATCTTTATTCAGGAAACGTTTCGCCACACAGTGGCTTCATCAGTCCAATACAAAGAGGAAGGCGTAAGGAGAGGAGGAGAATGAGGTAATCAGTCCCTCAACCTGGATTCGATGTGTTCAGTCCATCAATCTTGTAGAAAGTACAGCATAGGGCAGTAGACGTGGCTTATATACTGTAGTGAGGTGACGTGAAGCAGATGGAGGCGGGGTCATAGTGGTACCATCCACTAGTCGAAGTAGGTCTTCGTCCAAAGGTTGGACAAGTGTTGAAGAATTCTTTGTAATAAGACCCCATGATGCTGCCGTGTCTGACAGTTGTGATGAATGGTTTGAAAAACCGACAAGTTGAAGATTGAGACACTTATGCAGCATATGGGATCTTTATTCAGGAAACGTTTGCCACACAGTGGCTTCATCAGTCCAATACAAAGAGGAAGGCGTAAGGAGAGGAGGAGAATGAGGTAATCAGTCCCTCAACCTGGATTCGATGTGTTCAGTCCATCAATCTTGTAGAAAGTACAGCATAGGGCAGTAGACGTGGCTTATATACTGTAGTGAGGTGACGTGAAGCAGATGGAGGCGGGGTCATAGTGGTACCATCCATTAGTCGAAGTAGGTCTTCGTCCAAAGGTTGGACAAGTGTTGAAGAATTCTTTGTAACAAGACCCCATGATGCTGCCGTGTCTGACAGTTGTGATGAATGGTTTGAAAAACCGACAAGTTGAAGATTGAGACACTTATGCAGCATATGGGAATCTTTATTCAGGAAACGTTTCGCCACACAGTGGCTTCATCAGTCCAATACAAAGAGGAAGGCGTAAGGAGAGGAGGAGAATGAGGTAATCAGTCCCTCAACCTGGATTCGATGTGTTCAGTCCATCAATCTTGTAGAAAGTACAGCATAGGGCAGTAGACGTGGCTTATATACTGTAGTGAGGTGACGTGAAGCAGATGGAGGCGGGGTCATAGTGGTACCATCCACTAGTCGAAGTAGGTCTTCGTCCAAAGGTTGGACAAGTGTTGAAGAATTCTTTGTAACAAGACCCCATGATGCTGCCGTGTCTGACAGTTGTGATGAATGGTTTGAAAAACCGACAAGTTGAAGATTGAGACACTTATGCAGCATATGGGAATCTTTATTCAGGAAACGTTTCGCCACACAGTGGCTTCATCAGTCCAATACAAAGAGGAAGGCGTAAGGAGAGGAGGAGAATGAGGTAATCAGTCCCTCAACCTGGATTCGATGTGTTCAGTCCATCAATCTTGTAGAAAGTACAGCATAGGGCAGTAGACGTGGCTTATATACTGTAGTGAGGTGACGTGAAGCAGATGGAGGCGGGGTCATAGTGGTACCATCCACTAGTCGAAGTAGGTCTTCGTCCAAAGGTTGGACAAGTGTTGAAGAATTCTTTGTAACAAGACCCCATGATGCTGCCGTGTCTGACAGTTGTGATGAATGGTTTGAAAAACCGACAAGTTGAAGATTGAGACACTTATGCAGCATATGGGAATCTTTATTCAGGAAACGTTTCGCCACACAGTGGCTTCATCAGTCCAATACAAAGAGGAAGGCGTAAGGAGAGGAGGAGAATGAGGTAATCAGTCCCTCAACCTGGATTCGATGTGTTCAGTCCATCAATCTTGTAGAAAGTACAGCATAGGGCAGTAGACGTGGCTTATATACTGTAGTGAGGTGACGTGAAGCAGATGGAGGCGGGGTCATAGTGGTACCATCCACTAGTCGAAGTAGGTCTTCGTTCCAAAGGTTGAACAAGTGTTGAAGAATTCTTTGTAACAAGACCCCATGATGCTGCTGTGTCTGACAGTTGTGATGAATGGTTTGAAAAACCGACAAGTTGAAGATTGAGACACTTATGCAGCATATGGGAATCTTTATTCAGGAAACGTTTCGCCACACAGTGGCTTCATCAGTCCAATACAAAGAGGAAGGCGTAAGGAGAGGAGGAGAATGAGGTAATCAGTCCCTCAACCTGGATTCGATGTGTTCAGTCCATCAATCTTGTAGAAAGTACAGCATAGGGCAGTAGACGTGGCTTATATACTGTAGTGAGGTGACGTGAAGCAGATGGAGGCGGGGTCATAGTGGTACCATCCACTAGTCGAAGTAGGTCTTCGTCCAAAGGTTGGACAAGTGTTGAAGAATTCTTTGTAACAAGACCCCATGATGCTGCTGTGTCTGACAGTTGTGATGAATGGTTTGAAAAACCGACAAGTTGAAGATTGAGACACTTATGCAGCATATGGGAATCTTTATTCAGGAAACGTTTCGCCACACAGTGGCTTCATCAGTCCAATACAAAGAGGAAGGCGTAAGGAGAGGAGGAGAATGAGGTAATCAGTCCCTCAACCTGGATTCGATGTGTTCAGTCCATCAATCTTGTAGAAAGTACAGCATAGGGCAGTAGACGTGGCTTATATACTGTAGTGAGGTGACGTGAAGCAGATGGAGGCGGGGTCATAGTGGTACCATCCACTAGTCGAAGTAGGTCTTCGTCCAAAGGTTGGACAAGTGTTGAAGAATTCTTTGTAACAAGACCCCATGATGCTGCCGTGTCTGACAGTTGTGATGAATGGTTCGAAAAACCAACAAGTTGAAGATTTGGACGAAGACCTACTTCGACTAGTGGATGGTACCACTATGACCCCGCCTCCATCTGCTTCACGTCACCTCACTACAGTATATAAGCCACGTCTACTGCCCTATGCTGTACTTTCTACAAGATTGATGGACTGAACACATCGAATCCAGGTTGAGGGACTGATTACCTCATTCTCCTCCTCTCCTTACGCCTTCCTCTTTGTATTGGACTGATGAAGCCACTGTGTGGCGAAACGTTTCCTGAATAAAGATTCCCATATGCTGCATAAGTGTCTCAATCTTCAACTTGTCGGTTTTTCAAACCATTCATCACAACTGTCAGACACGGCAGCATCATGGGGTCTTGTTACAAAGAATTCTTCAACACTTGTCCAACCTTTGGACGAAGACCTACTTCGACTAGTGGATGGTACCACTATGACCCCGCCTCCATCTGCTTCACGTCACCTCACTACAGTATATAAGCCACGTCTACTGCCCTATGCTGTACTTTCTACAAGATTGATGGACTGAACACATCGAATCCAGGTTGAGGGACTGATTACCTCATTATCCTCCTCTCCTTACGCCTTCCTCTTTGTATTGGACTGATGAAGCCACTGTGTGGCGAAACGTTTCCTGAATAAAGATTCCCATATGCTGCATAAGTGTCTCAATCTTCAACTTGTCGGTTTTTCAAACCATTCATCGAACTTTACTACTGAATATCAACATCACATTTTTGTAATGACTATTTTATTGTTTTATTTTGGTATTTCATGTTTTACTTTACTTTTTATGCTGTTAGTACTGTATTTTATACTATAAGGTTTAGGATAAACACTGTGTACAACACAAATAGTTGTTTATTTCCCAGAAATTTGGCACAAAAAACACAGTCGTAAGTCGAGCAGGTCGTAAGTCGGATGGTAGGTGTATATGCTTGTACATGTATGTGTAGTGTGACCTAAGTGTAAGTAGAAGTAGCAAGATGTACCTGAAATCTTGCATGTTTATGAGACAGAAAAAAGACACCAGCAATCCTACCATCGTGTAAAACAATTTCAGGTTTCTGTTTTACACTCGGCAGGACGGTAGTACCTCCCTGGGCGGTTGCTGTCTACCAACCTACTACCTAGAATAATGCCTTATCTGAGCACTAAATGAGGCTCCTTTACTTATTTTCTCCTCATATTCTGTAATATTTGTTTCATAGCTGAATTCACCTCTGACATTCTTTTCACCATTTCTCACACTGCACTACTCATTGTACAAGTTCTTACTGTATTTTCTTCTCGTTGTCTGATTGAATAAATAGTAGATTATCTCAGACCAAAAGTGAGGGCAGTCTGAATCACATGTGAATGTTTTGTAGAATATATAAAATTTCCATTTTAATATCATCAGAGCTTCATTCTTATTCTTCTTGGAACGTCTAGCATTACTGGTATTCTTGCTGGATGTTATGGTTAATAGCTAGAGATAAGATGGGGTGATGACAACTAAAATTATTTAATAAACACTACCAGGAATCAACTATAGGCAGCATGGGTGGCAGTGGGCTTTTCTCCACACTTGACCCTTAGGCCCAACTTGGGTCAGAAGGGAAAAATTTCATGGCTCACAATACTTGGAATTTGCATGTAACTTGATGTTTCCACATTACCAGAGCATCCTATCAAATCTTTTGCAAGTTCTATGCAATTTTGGATTAGCTTCTTACAGTCACATATATGAGAGACTTTATTGTGTAATGGCAGAGAAAGCTAATTTAAAAGTGAAAGATATAAGTTTAGTAAATGGAAATATTTATTAATAGTTTGTACATTGATAGTATAATTGGTATGCAAATTAAACTAAATTTGTGGGATTAAGTTTGACAAGGTAATGGAAAAGAAACCTGTAACAAACATCTTGGGATAAATTTCTTTTACAAGCAGGTGATCATAATTATGCATTACAGTACTAACCTTCTGGTTTAATCCATTGAAAAGCACCACCCTGGAGATATTTGATATCATTATTCACAATATTGATACGATTCTTAATTCTAAAGAACAACCCATGTTTGGGAATATTATTGAACATATTGCTGCGTAGAGTAACATCTCCTTGGACTCGAAGGTTCCAGGGTGATTGTTCCATTTTGGGAAAAGTATTGTTTCTTATATAGACATCTCCTTTGATGTTTCCCACTAGGAAAAGTGGAACAGCACCTGAAGAAGGGTATAAATTATTGAACATTAAATGCATTTTACTAGTATAGTACTGTATTTCCATTTATCATTACTATTTATTATTATTACTGTATTATTATTATTATCATTATCATCATCATAGGAAGTACTAAATCTATAGAGGTCTGTGGTGCCAGGGAAATGAAAGTAAGTTCGATGAAAAAATGGAAGAGCAGCATCAATTCCTAGAATAACGATTCCTTCACCAACATCAAGACAACTTGCTTGTAGGGTTTGTTTATTATTACAGAGTATGTATGTAAAAGAAGGAAATTAAATGTGAGCATAGGAGAACAAGGTGATGAGGGGTAACAAACAAGTAAGATAATGAAAGATTGGATATCAGATTGCAAGAAGGGAGTATGGAGGAAGTGAATGTGTTCATATACAATGGTACCTTGGGATACAAACAGCTCAAAACTTGAACAATTGTGTAAATGTATTTATGTAATTGCTTTTGTAAAAGTATTTTTGGGGAGTCTGAAATGATTAATCTAATTTACATTATTCCTTATGGGAACAAATTCATTTGGTATCAGCACTCGAACAGCCTTCTCGAACGAAATAAATTTGTATCCCGAGGTACCACTGTATTTGGGAGTGAACTTGTTGGGCAGATGGGTATATGAAAGACAAGGTAAACCGTAGAATTAATAACATAAGAAAGAAGAAGTACTGCAGTAGGCCTACTGGCCCATGCTAGGCAGGTTCAAGTCACCCCTGTTTAAAAAGGAAGGAGCACTGCAACAGGCTCACTGACCCATACTTGGCAAATCCATCTCACACCACCCACACCCAATCATGTACTTGTCTAACCTATTTTTAAAGCTACACTAGGTTTTAGCTTTAATGACACTACTCGAGAGCTTGTTCCCCTCATCGACAACTCTATTATCAAACGAATGCTTTCTTATGTCCTTTTGAAATCTAATTTTTTCCAGCTTGAACCCATTGCTGTGAGTCCTGTCTTGGTTAGATATTTTTAGCACACTATTTACATCCTCCTTATTAATTCCTGTTTTCCATTTATCTGAATCATTTTCCCCCAAATTCTGCACCTTCCAAGAGAGTGTAGACTCAGGGTCCTTAGTCTATCCTCATAGGAAAGATTTCTGATACATGGGATTAATTTTGTCATCCTTCTCTGTATGTTTTCCAGTGCATTTTTGTTCATTATTTAATATGGTAACCAAACCTGTGCAGCATAATCTAACTAAAGCTTAACCACCCCTACCTCAGTGGGAGACAGCCTCTGTGTGTGTGTGCATGCATGTGTGCATGTGCAGCATAATCACAAACAGGCGATCTTAATAATGCAGAACAAGCAACATGAGGATGGAAGTATTTAGCTCAAGATGTTTTGCACATATGCATCGTCAGGAGCTATGCAATGCTGCAAGTCTAGCAACAAATGGGAGGGAAAAATTCTCAGAGGCAAGGTAGGGGCATGCCAGCAACAACCTGTACCTGAGTGATTAATACACCAACACACACAGGTTTTTGTAACTGTATTAACCCTTTGACTGTTTTGGTTGTATATATACGACTTACGAGTCAGTGTTTCGGACATATATAGTATACTCAATAATTCTAGCGGCTTCAAATCAAGCAGGAGAAAGCTGGTAGGCCCACATGTGAGAGAATGGGTCTGTGTGGTCAATGTGCACCACATTAAAAAATCCTGCAGCATCCAGTGCATAATGAGACAAAAAAAACACTGACTGTTTTTTTGGATTAAAACGCCGACTTTGAGGTGTATTTTCGTATAGTATTCATCATTGTATTTTCGTTTTCATGGTCTCACGTGATAAAATGGAAAACATATTGCAGATATAGAGATGATTTTGATTAGTTTCACGATGAAAACGACCTTGAAATTGAGCTCAAAGTAGCGGAAATGTTCGATTTTTACCAATGTTCAAGAGTAAGCAAATCACACCACTTGTCCAGTACACGTCAACTGGGGAGTCTAATATACTTTCACTATTGCACTGATATTATTTATACTATTTTTACAATAATGCAGTAGTCTGCATAACAGTAAATTTTGTATTTTTTGTATGAATAAAAAATAAAAATAGAAAGCAATAGTAATATAAGAGGGGCCTAGAGACGTGACTAATGAACAGAGGATATGTTATTTTAGTGCCAAGAATGTCTACATTGTTTATTCTGGACCCTATTTTGAAATTGGCATCTTTTTTGTGTGAAATTGGCCAAATTGCCAATTTCTGACCACTTTATTGGATAGTTCAAATCAGTAAATGGGCTGTTTCTTGTACTCAATTGATGGAAAAATGGAGTACTAAAGAAATAGCTATGAGTTTGGTCAACTGGAACAATGAAATTGGCCAAAAACAGGGCTCAAACTCGGCAAAATCGCCGATGCGTATATGTCGCCGAGGCTGCTAACTTCGCAGGAGCGTAATTCCATGAGTTTTCGACCAAATTTCTTACTTTTGGTGTCATTACCATCGAGAAAAGATTCTCTATCATTTCATAAGAAAAAATAATTTTTTTTTTTTTTTTTCCAAAAATTTTGCGACAGAATGACAGTTTCAGAAAAGGGTTTGAGACAGTCAAAGGGTTAACCCTTTGGGGGTCGACAGGTCCTCTCAGAGACTTGTTCTCAGGGTCGGCCAAATTTCAAAAAAAAAAAAAAAAATTTTCTTGTGAAAAGATAGAGAACCTTTTCCCGATCATAATGGCACCAAAAGTATAAAATTTGATGGAAAACTTACGGAATTATGCTCTCGCGAAGTTAGCGGTCATGACGATGTTTACGCATCGGCGATTTTGCCCACTTTGAGCCCTATTTTCGGCCAATTCCAGTGTACTAGTCGACAAAAATCATAACTATTTCGCTAGAACTCCGTTTTTTCTATTGAATGAGTACAAGAAACCACCCATTTACCGATTTCAACTATCCAATAAATTGGTCAGAATTTAGCAATTTTGCCAATTTCACACAAATTTCGAAAGATACCGATTTCCAAATAGGGTCCAGAATAAACAAGAAAGACATTCCTGGCACTAACATAAGTTCTCTGTTCATTAGTCTTATCCCCAGGCCTCTCTTATATTTCTTTGGCTTTCCACTTTCAGTTTTTATTCTTACAAAAAAATAAGATTTACTGTTATGCAGACTACTGCATTAGTGTAGAAATGGTATAAATAATATCAGTGCACTTGTGAAAGAATATTAGACTCAACAGTTGATGTGTATTGGACGCTTGGCATGATTTGTTTACTTTTGAACTTTGGTAAAAATCGAATATTTCTGCTACCTTGAGCTCAATTTCAAGGTACTTTTCATTGTAAAACCAGTCAAAATCATCTCAATTTCTGTAATATGTCTTCCATTCTATAAAATGAGACCAAGAAAACTAGAATACAACAATAAATACCATACAAAAATACAGTGCAAAGTTGCTGTTTTAATCCAAAAACACGGTCAAAGTTTTTTTTTTTCTCATTACGCACTGTGTGCTGCAGGATTTCTTTTATACTGCGCACACTGACCACATAGACCCATTCTTTCATACGTAGGCCTACCAGCTTTCTCTCACTAGATTTGAAGGCGCTAGAATTTAGGCGTACTAGTACGTCATAAACCCTGGGTCGTAAGACATACTAGTACGTCCAAAACCCCCAAAGGGTTAATATACGAATCATATGTACTAGTTGTCACATTCTCTAACATGTGGTACTATAGGGTGACAACAAGCACATCCGATTCATATACAGTCGACCCTCAACTACCGGCGGCATTAAGTAACGGCAATTTCGTCTAATGGCGCTTTTTGCCATAGAAAAAATGCCTTAACCAACGGTGAAAAACTTAACCAACGACGTTTGTCTGGAACGTGTCGATGTGCCTGGAGCTCGGCCTGAGCTGGCCCAGCCACTCCAAGAGTCGGTGTGCCATTGTTTACAAGCTGTTGCGGTGAGTTTCCACGTGTGCCTCCCATATATTTTGGAGAATTCCACTATTTCTAGTGCTTGTAACCACTAAATAAGCCACCATGGGTCCCAGGAAAGCTTCTAATGCCAAGCCTGTGTTAAAAAGGGCGAAAATTACGATGGAAATGAAGTACTTCTGGAAGGGAATTCTCCTTCCAAGCAATAGACAATTCTGAATTTACCCTGCTGCTGGCACATCACTCACCAACAACTCCACAATAAAGGTAAGTGGCATTTAATTATTGTTTATTTTGCATGTCCCATTCCTTTCCATATAAGGAAATGTATATTTCATGTAAAAAATTTTTTTTTTTTTTTTCAGACTTTGGGGTGTCACGAACGGATTAATTCTATTTCCATTATTTCTTATGGGGAAAATTAACTCAACCAACGGCAAGCCCTCTGGAATGGATTAATGCCGTTGGTTGAGGGTCCACTGTATTAATACAAAGCTACATAAAATCTGAGTGTGTGGGTGTATTAACCATTTTATTAACATGATTTCACATGAAACTAGCTTAGTTGATAGTGATTAGATGTGATTTTGGGTTGACTATCACTTTCCCATATTATTTTATACTTAAATAATGTTTTATTTAGTTCCTTCCAATTTTGTTTGGACTAAGAGGTGCCAGACATTCCATTGCCAGAAAATCAGTGTTGTATCTATACCATACAAAACTTTAAATATTACCTTACACATATCAAAAAAAGCTTCAGTTGACCCTTACCTTTGAATTTATTGTATGCAAAGTATAAACTTTCATTCACTGATGAATTTTGAATAGTAATTGCATATTTTTGGATTTCTCCGATGGTTGTATTGCTTATTTGAAACTTATTTGTAACATGATTATCCACAGCCATTTTTGCAATCTGTTCTAGAGTTGAGTTGGCAATAAAAAATTTTTGAATAATGAACTTTCCAAAGGCTCCAGTAGAAATCTTATGTATTACACAGTTGGCAATTTGAAATATTAATTTTGCCTTGGTAGCTTTAGAATAGTTCGTTGCACCCAATGGGGAAGTGCTATGTTCTCTTAGTGTGAAAGTATTAGAAGGAAGTTCCTTTGAAGTAACATTAATGATGGTAAGATTTATTCTAGCATCTGTAAATGCATCCATCTCAAAAGACCCCTTCATAAAATGTAGGTCTGTAATATTTTGTAAAAGTATCTGAAGAGAGCCACTTTTTCTGAAACTTTGAGGCTGTAGTGTTAATCGTTGACAGTTCTTCATAGTGATGTGCGTTTTCTCACCAAAAGCTGGCCCAAGTTCTGCTGTCTGAAATATGATAACAGTTATTAAATATAGTAATAAAGTATGCAACAAATAGTTCTAATGTGGCTATTACTTGGGTAAATTATATATGTTATTTGAAGCATTCAGTACTGTACTTACAAATGTTGAGATGAACTGTAGAAAGTTTTAGCAGGCATAAAATATTCAAATAGACATTTTGCAGAGGACTTAATGCATCTGTGATAATAAATGGCATGAGTACCGACATGACTCATTATACATTCAAAAGTGGAACCAGGATGCCATAATGTTACAGGTTCAGCCTTCAACAAATTTTTTGAACTAGTAATAAAACTAATGTTTCAAGAAAGAAAATGTCAAACTCAAAATTTGCAAATATACAGTCTCTCCTCACGTACTCGTTTACCGACGACTCGGATTTACAATGGCCTCTCTGACTAGTATGCATACCTAAATAATGTATATTAGAGCTATTTCCTCTAATCTGTTTATTACAATATACAGTACACTGCTGTATAAACATTTAAAAATATACCAGAAATGTTATAAATGGTGCAAAGGTGACATTAAAACAATATCGAAGATGGTTGACACAAACCACTACCACTATAGTATGCTCCTTACTTAGCGACAAATTCGTTTACCAATGTGGTCTTAGGAATGGAACTTCGTCATTAAATGAGGAGAGGCTGTATTACAAAAGTTGTTTTGATGTTAGCCTTACAGCTATTAATACATGTAACATTCACATTATGTACTGTATTAGTTAGTGTGTTTACTTGTCACCAACCAAAGCACTGCCTTCCACCAAACACTCATCCATGTGTCTGCCATCATAAGCAGTTCCCACCATCAGAAGTGCAAATCCAAACAAATCTTATCTTAGAAGTGTA